AATTGTGAGAAATAAAGTCAATTGTGAGATATAAAGTCGCAATTCTGAGAAATAAAGTCGCAATTCTAGAAATAAAATCAACAAAAATCACAAATCACATAAAGTCGCAATTGCGAGAATATAAAGTCTCAAATTCTGAGAAATAAAGTCACAATTCTGAGAAATAAAGTCGCAATTGCGAGAAAAAAAGACAGAATTGAGACTTTTTTATCTCACAATTCTGACTTTATTCTCGCAATTCTGACTTTATATCTCGCAATTCTGACTTTATATCTTCGCAATTCTGACTTTAATAACACGCAATTCTGACTTTATATCTCGCATTTCTGACTATATTCTCGCAATTCTGACTTTATATCTCACAATTCTGACTTTATATCTCGCAATTCTGACTTTATATCTCGCAATTCTGACTTTATATCACGCAATTTTGACTTTATATCTCGCAATTCTGACTTTATATCTCGCAATTCTGACTTTATATCTCGCAATTCTGAGAAAAAAAGTCAGAATTGTGAGATAAAAAGTCACAATTACAGTACCTTTTTTATTTTTCATTAAGTGGCGGAAACAAGCTTCCATAGTTTTGACTGTATTTTTGATCAAATAAATGCAGCCTTGGTGAGCAGAAGATAAAAAAATCAAAAATAAAATGTTTTGACCCCTACATTTTTGAACAGTTGTATTATTCAAGATTACTCAGATCACCAAGTTTGACTAATTGGATTGTTTGAACACACACAGATTTCGCCAGTGGGGACAGTGACCCTGCGGGATCGCCACTGCAAGGCCGAATTTAACGGAAGCCATTTCCTGTTGGTTTTCCCAGTCATTTCCTGTGGGACGGAGGGAGAAATGGATGAAGAATGAAAGAGTTCGTTACACAAACACGGTGCGAGAGAGAGAGAGAGAGAGAGAGAGAGAGAGACATAATCAACATAATTATAATGAAATATACTAAATAAATTTAAAAATATTGTAATATAAATATAGCTGATGTAATTCTTGTTTTTTTGTCATTTTTGTCAAATTGTCATAAAATAGCATTTCATTATGATTATTTCTGTAGTCCAACAACTAAATCTGACTTGGGTCACGCCGTCTTGCTGTCACTGGGTTTGTTTGTCTGGTTGCATATGAAGGCTTAAACATGTGACCTGAGCTGTAACCACACACACCAAAAACAGATGACCCGGGTCACCCTGCACCGAACTCATGCAGAGCATTATCAGGTTTGGAGATGGGAACATCTTCAGAGGACAAAAGGGAAAAATGGTCCATTTCTTACCTGAACACACTTTAATTGTGTTTTGAAGGTGTTCCTGTGGAAACAAAAACCATCGGAGGGTTTGAACAATGAGACGGACTGGGAGGGTTTGGATTGGACGAGTCTAATGGCTGTTCATGTGAGTGTGTTTCGAACCCTAGTCTAGTGCACTAAATGGAGAGCATTCAAACTGTGATGGAAACTCGTACCTCATAACTGATTTTATGAGCACAGAATTATTTTTATCAAATGTGTTGGGTCAGTAAGAGGGTTTGCTCAAAAAAACATTTCTTGACAGATTCATTAAAGCATACATTAAATAATGAGGACACCAGTTTAAGTACTGTAAAGTACTTTGTTTTCACAAAAATAGAATTTTTTAGGAGTCTTTGACAAATTTTTATTTTAACCCTTTCACTGCACTGGACAGCTATTAAAAAAGCCATTTCTTGCAGATCCATTTTCATTGTGCATTTTCATGTCCACTGGAGTGGTTGCACATCAACCACTCCAGTGGACACTAGTGCGTCATCATATACACTGCCACCAGGTGGTAAGCCTTTGTATGTGGATTTTTTTTTTTTTTTTTTTTTTGCTAGGACCAGTCAGAAAGTACAGCTATCTAAATATTATTGAGTCAAGACACATGAACTTGAGAAGCAAAATTACTCTTTTTTTCTAAAGTGAGTTTAAATTTAACACAAGAAAAAACAATATCTGCCACTCGAGTTAGAAAAATAAACTTGTTTTCTCTCTTAAATTAAGTTATTTTTCTGACACCATTTTTTTGTTTTAAACTTAAACTTATTACACTTTACAATAAGGTTCATTAGTTAACATTAATTAATCTATTGACTAACAGAACAATGAGCAATACATTTGTTACAGTCTTTATCTGTGTCACTGTTATAATGTCAAATACAGCTGTTCATGTTAGTTCACAGTGCATTAACTAATGTTAACAATTACAACCTTTGTTGAAACTAAAATGAACTAAGATTAATAATTGCTGAAGCAGGATTGTTCATTCTTAATTCAAGTTAGCTAAGTTTGTTTACTAATATAACCTATTTTTTTGTTCAGAGAACAAGACTCATGTTATTTTGCTTTTCAAGTAAATGTATCTTGATTCAAGAATGTTTTTGATATTTTTACTGAATTGGGATTCACTGTTTGTGACTGTCTTTGATCAAATGGATGGTTCTGTAAATGTGTGTATGATGCGTTTTCCTCTGGTGTGTGTGTGTGTGTGTGTGCTCAGATCAGCTGTGATTCGACTCTAGTGATTCCATCAGACGTGACTCCGTCGGCCCGTCCCGAGGAAGCTCTGCGCCTCAGTCCGGCAGCGGCTCCTCCCTGGGTCCCGCTGCTGTCCATGGAGCTGTTCGTGAGCGAGGCCCTGGAGAGGAGGCCTGTGGGGCCCTGCGTTATCAGTGCGTACGACCGGCTCTACGTGCAGGTCAGTGCGTCGCTGAAGGCCAGAGCTGATGATAGATGGCTGGAGTCGATAACAGGGATTAAAGTCACTCAAGGGCCCCAGACTCCTGTCGCCATGTGGAGCTTACAGTCAAGGCCACTGATCGACACGCTCCACTGACTGTGTGTGTGTGTGTGTGTGTGTGTGTGTGTGTGTTTATATCAGGAAACTCATGTGAAGTTAAATGATACACAAAGAAATGCTAGGTTGTTTCAACCCATGTTTAGGTCAAATGTGGACAAACCCAAACGTTGGGTTTAAACATTTTATTAAAAAATTTAAACCAACGGTTGGGTTTGTCCATATTTTACTCCAAACATGGATCTTCTGGGAGGCTGTTTCTATCTGTTTTTTTTTTGCCGTGTTTTTGGCTGGTGTGCTCAGAGAGGTTGCTAGGCTGTTGCTATGTGGTTGCTGGGGTGCTCTGTTAGGTTGCTAGACTGTTGCTATGTGGTTGCTGGGGTAGTCTGGGTGGTTGCTAAGCTGTTGCTATGTGAGTACTGGGGTAATCTGGGTGGTTGCTGGGGTGGTCTGGGTGGTTAATAGGCTTTTGCTATGTGGTTGCCCCGGATCGAATTTTGAGTTTCTCCAATCTTCTTGAAACTCTGGATTCTGATAGAGGGCCATGAGACTTAGACCTGAGTGCAAAAATGGAGGCTCTAGACCCTTCCAGAGCTGAGATATCGAAACTCAAAAATTCGACCCGAAAAAAAAACGACAGTGGTACCCCTTTCGTTTTTTTTTTTCGGGCGAAAAATTAATTTCTCCAATCTTCTCAAAACTCTGGATTCTGATAGAGGGACATGAGACTTAGACCTGAGTGCAAAAATGGAGGCTCTAGACCCTTCCAGAGCTGAGATATCGAAACTCAAAATTTCGACCAGAAAAAAAACCGACAGTGTTACCCCTTAAGTTTTTTTTGGGGGGCGAAAAATTAAGTTTCCCCAATCTTCTCAAAACTCTGGATTCTGATAGAGGGCCATGAGACTTAGACCTGAGTGCAAAAATGGAGGCTCTAGACCCTTCCAGAGCTGAGATATCGAAACTCAAAAATTCGACCCGAAAAAAAACGACAGTGGTACCCCTTTCGTTTTTTTTTTCGGGCGAAAAATTTAATTTCTCCAATCTTCTCAATACTCTGGATTCTGATAGAGGGCCATGAGACTTAGACCTGAGTGCAAAAATGGAGGCTCTAGACCCTTTCAGAGCTGAGATATCGAAACTCAAAATTTCGACCCGAAAAAAAAACGACAGTGTTACCCCTTAAGTTTTTTTTTGGGGGCGAAAAATTAAGTTTCCCAATCTTCTCAAAACTCTGGATTCTGATAGAGGGCCATGAGACTTAGACCTGAGTGCAAAAATGGAGGCTCTAGACCCTTCCAGAGCTGAGATATCGAAACTCAAAATTCGACCCGAAAAAAAAACGACAGTGGTACCCCTTTCGTTTTTTTTTTTTTTCGGGCGAAAAATTAAGTTTCTCCAATCTTCTCAAAACTCTGGATTCTGATAGAGGGCCATGAGACTTAGACCTGAGTGCAAAAATGGAGGCTCTAGACCCTTCCAGAGCTGAGATATCGAAACTCAAAAATTCGACCCGAAAAAAAAACGACAGTGGTACCCCTTTCGTTTTTTTTTCGGGCGAAAAATTAAGTTTCTCCAATCTTCTCAAAACTCTGGATTCTGATAGAGGGCCATGAGACTTAGACCTGAGTGCAAAATGGAGGCTCTAGACCCTTCCAGAGCTGAGATATCGAAACTCAAAAATTCGACCCGAAAAAAAAACGACAGTGGTACCCCTTTCGTTTTTTTTTTTTCGGGCGAAAAATTAAGTTTCTCCAATCTTCTCAAAACTCTGGATTCTGATAGAGGGCATGAGACTTACACCTGAGTGCAAAAATGGAGGCTCTAGACCCTTCCAGAGCTGAGATATCGAAACTCAAAAATTTCGACCCGAAAAAAAAACGACAGTGTTACCCCTTACGTTTTTTTTTGGGGGGCGAAAAATTAAGTTTCCCCAATCTTCTCAAAACTCTGGATTCTGATAGAGGGCCATGAGACTTAGACCTGAGTGCAAAAATGGAGGCTCTAGACCCTTCCAGAGCTGAGATATCGAAACTCAAAAATTCGACCCGAAAAAAAAAACGACAGTGGTACCCCTTTCGTTTTTTTTTTTTCGGGCGAAAAATTAAGTTTCTCCAATCTTCTCAAAACTCTGGATTCTGATAGAGGGCCATGAGACTTAGACCTGAGTGCAAAAATGGAGGCTCTAGACCCTTCCAGAGCTGAGATATCGAAACTCAAAAATTCGACCCGAAAAAAAAACGACAGTGGTACCCCTTTCGTTTTTTTTTTTTTTCGGGCGAAAAATTAAGTTTCTCCAATCTTCTCAAAACTCTGGATTCTGATAGAGGGCCATGAGACTTAGACCTGAGTGCGAAAATGGAGGCTCTAGACCCTTCCAGAGCTGAGATATCGAAACTCAAAAATTCGACCCGAAAAAAAAACGACAGTGGTACCCCTTTCGTTTTTTTTTTTCGGGCGAAAAATTAAGTTTCTCCAATCTTCTCAAAACTCTGGATTCTGATAGAGGGCCATGAGACTTAGACCTGAGTGCAAAAATGGAGGCTCTAGACCCTTCCAGAGCTGAGATATCGAAACTCAAAAATTCGACCCGAAAAAAAACGACAGTGGTACCCCTTTCGTTTTTTTTTTCGGGCGAAAAATTAAGTTTCTCCAATCTTCTCAAAACTCTGGATTCTGATAGAGGGCCATGAGACTTAGACCTGAGTGCAAAAATGGAGGCTCTAGACCCTTCCAGAGCTGAGATATCGAAACTCAAAAATTCGACCCGAAAAAAAACGACAGTGGTACCCCTTTCGTTTTTTTTTTTTCGGGCGAAAAATTAAGTTTCTCCAATCTTCTCAAAACTCTGGATTCTGATAGAGGGCCATGAGACTTAGACCTGAGTGCAAAAATGGAGGCTCTAGACCCTTCCAGAGCTGAGATATCGAAACTCAAAAATTTCGACCCGAAAAAAAAAACGACAGTGGTACCCCTTAAGTTTTTTTTTGGGGCGAAAAATTAAGTTTCTCCAATCTTCTCAAAACTCTGGATTCTGATAGAGGGCCATGAGACTTAGACCTGAGTGCAAAAATGGAGGCTCTAGACCCTTCCAGAGCTGAGATATCGAAACTCAAAATTCGACCCGAAAAAAAAAACGACAGTGGTACCCCTTTCGTTTTTTTTTTTTTCGGGCGAAAAATTAAGTTTCTCCAATCTTCTCAAAACTCTGGATTCTGATAGAGGGCCATGAGACTTAGACCTGAGTGCAAAAATGGAGGCTCTAGACCCTTCCAGAGCTGAGATATCGAAACTCAAAAATTCGACCCGAAAAAAAAAACGACAGTGGTACCCCTTTCGTTTTTTTTTTTTTTTTCGGCGAAAAATTAAGTTTCTCCAATCTTCTCAAAACTCTGGATTCTGATAGAGGGCCATGAGACTTAGACCTGAGTGCAAAAATGGAGGCTCTAGACCCTTCCAGAGCTGAGATATCGAAACTCAAAAATTCGACCCGAAAAAAAAACGACAGTGGTACCCCTTTCGTTTTTTTTTTTTTTCGGGCGAAAAATTAAGTTTCTCCAATCTTCTCAAAACTCTGGATTCTGATAGAGGGCCATGAGACTTAGACCTGAGTGCGAAAATGGAGGCTCTAGACCCTTCCAGAGCTGAGATATCGAAACTCAAAAATTCGACCCGAAAAAAAACGACAGTGTTACCCCTTTCGTTTTTTTTTTCGGGCGAAAAATTAAGTTTCTCCAATCTTCTCAAAACTCTGGATTCTGATAGAGGGCCATGAGACTTAGACCTGAGTGCAAAAATGGAGGCTCTAGACCCTTCCAGAGCTGAGATATCGAAACTCAAAAATTCGACCCGAAAAAAAACGACAGTGGTACCCCTTTCGTTTTTTTTTTTCAGGCGAAAAATTAAATTTCTCCAATCTTCTCAAAACTCTGGATTCTGATAGAGGGACATGAGACTTAGACCTGAGTGCAAAAATGGAGGCTCTAGACCCTTCCAGAGCTGAGATATCGAAACTCAAAATTCGACCCGAAAAAAAAACGACAGTGTTACCCCTTATTTTTTTTTTGGGGGGCGAAAAATTAAGTTTCTCCAATCTTCTCAAAACTCTGGATTCTGATAGAGGGCCATGAGACTTAGACCTGAGTGCAAAAATGGAGGCTCTAGACCCTTCCAGAGCTGAGATATCGAAACTCAAAATTCGACCCGAAAAAAAAAACGACAGTGGTACCCTTTCGTTTTTTTTTTTTTTCGGGCGAAAAATTAAGTTTCTCCAATCTTCTCAAAACTCTGGATTCTGATAGAGGGCCATGAGACTTAGACCTGAGTGCAAAATGGAGGCTCTAGACCCTTCCAGAGCTGAGATATCGAAACTCAAAAATTCGACCCGAAAAAAAAAACGACAGTGGTACCCCTTTCGTTTTTTTTTTTTTCGGGCGAAAAATTAAGTTTCTCCAATCTTCTCAAAACTCTGGATTCTGATAGAGGGCCATGAGACTTAGACCTGAGTGCAAAAATGGAGGCTCTAGACCCTTCCAGAGCTGAGATATCGAAACTCAAAAATTCGACACGAAAAAAAAACGACAGTGGTACCCCTTTCGTTTTTTTTTTCAGGTGAAAAATTAAATTTCTCCAATCTTCTCAAAACTCTGGATTCTGATAGAGGGACATGAGACTTAGACCTGAGTGCAAAAATGGAGGCTCTAGACCCTTCCAGAGCTGAGATATCGAAACTCAAAATTCGACCCGAAAAAAAAACGACAGTGGTACCCCTTTCGTTTTTTTTTTTCGGCGAAAAATTAAGTTTCTCCAATCTTCTCAAAACTCTGGATTCTGATAGAGGGCCATGAGACTTAGACCTGAGTGCAAAAATGGAGGCTCTAGACCCTTCCAGAGCTGAGATATCGAAACTCAAAAATTCGACCCGAAAAAAAACGACAGTGGTACCCCTTTCGTTTTTTTTTTTTCGGGCGAAAAATTAAATTTCTCCAATCTTCTCAAAACTCTGGATTCTGATAGAGGGACATGAGACTTACACCTGAGTGCAACAATGGAGGCTCTAGACCCTTTCAGAGCTGAGATATCGAAACTCAAAATTCGACCCGAAAAAAAAAAAACGACAGTGGTACCCCTTTCGTTTTTTTTTTTTTTCGGGCGAAAAATTAAGTTTCTCCAATCTTCTCAAAACTCTGGATTCTGATAGAGGGCCATGAGACTTAGACCTGAGTGCAAAATGGAGGCTCTAGACCCTTCAGAGCTGAGATATCGAAACTCAAAATTTCGACCCGAAAAAAAAACGACAGTGTTACCCCTTACGTTTTTTTTGGGGCGAAAAATTAAGTTTCTCCAATCTTCTCAAAACTCTGGATTCTGATAGAGGGCCATGAGACTTAGACCTGAGTGCAAAAATGGAGGCTCTAGACCCTTCCAGAGCTGAGATATCGAAATTCAAAAATTCGACCCGAAAAAAAAAAAAACGACAGTGGTACCCCTTACGTTTTTTTTGGGGGGGCGAAAAATTAAATTTCTCCAATCTTCTCAAAACTCTGGATTCTGATAGAGGGCCATGAGACTTAGACCTGAGTGCAAAAATGGAGGCTCTAGACCCTTCCAGAGCTGAGATATCGAAATTCAAAAATTCGACCCGAAAAAAAAAACGACATTGTTACCCCTTACGTTTTTTTGGGGGGTGAAAAATTAAGTTTCCCCAATCTTCTCAAAACTCTGGATTTTGATAGAGGGCCATGAGACTTAGACCTGAGTGCAACAATGGAGGCTCTAGACCCTTCCAGAGCTGAGATATCGAAACTCAAAATTCGACCCGAAAAAAAAAAATAATAATAACATAGCAACAACCTATTAATCCCCCAGGCCACTTCAGAAACCACATAGCAACAGCATAGTAACCACCCGGAACACCCCAGGAACCACATAGCAACAGCCTAGTAACCACCCGAAACAGGTTAATAGGCTGTTTCTATGTGGTTGCTGGGGTAGTCTGGGTGGTTTCTAGGCTGTTGCTATGTGGTTGCTGGGGTGTTATGAGTGGTTTATAGGGAGCAGTGTTCGATTAACATAACTTCTCTGTGTGTCTGTCAGATCTCGGCGGCGTCTGGCGCTGCGGAGGCTGTGGAGCTCCAGTCGTGTCTGGTTTCTCCTCTCTCAGACCCGCAGGCTCACAGCGGCTGGTCCATCATCAAAGACTTCTGCCCGTCAGACCCATCCTTCACACTTCCCAACGGAGAAGCCCAGGAACCAACAGACAGCCCAGAGAGCAAGGGCGACGGAGACGAGGAGGACAAGGAGAAGCCCGGGAGGAAGGACGACAGATGGCCGAGCCCTCTCCGGAGACACACAGGGGCCCGCGGCGGAGACGAGAGGGCCAGGCGGTTTAAAGACAAGAGACCCGACAGAGTCAGAGCCAGGAAGCCCGAGGAGCGCAGGCGGAGTAGGAGGGACAATGAGCGCGAGGGCGCACACACACTGCGCTTCAGTTTCATCCTGCGCCCTGTCTATAATAACTCCATTCAGTTTCTGCACTGCCGGCTGCGTCTGTGTGCGGCGGACGAGGGGCCCTCAGGGGCCGGCGCTCGGGTCTGTGCTCAGGGGCCTCGGATTCCTGCTCTCACACACACGTCTGCTTCTCAACAGGTACTGTTGGTGTCATTACCCAAAGGAAACTGGGATGGCTGCAAGCTTTTTGTCATTTTTGATAACTGTCAACTCTATCTTATATCATACTAGATAGATCAAATAATAATGTATAGATCATAATACAGTTCGTATTAAACTAGATTAAACATTATTATCTGATATATTTAAACATAGGCTGTTAGTATTGAGTTCCAGAAACTTTAAATACCTTAAGTGTAAAGGTGTATCACATCAATATATATATACAGTCAAATCAATAATCATTCAGACACCAGATATACAGCGAATAAACTGTGGGAAATTATAATAATGTGATAATGTGAAAATTTTTGAAGGTGTCCAAATAAATTTTTGGATTTGATATATGATATGATATACTGTTTATATATAAATAGTATCAAATATATGTAAAACACTGGAACCAGAACTATTAAAACCTTTCTTCTCGAAAGATAAGAAGTGATTCTTATCTTTCACCTTTGTCTTACAGTGTGAGGACAGAAATCTGTCTCGGCCAGTATTGGTGACGTATCCTGTGGGGTTTCTGGCTCCCCCTGCTGGTCGGTACCCATCAATGCAGCGTTGAACTTTCATTCACACAAGCCTTTTGCATTACTAACACTTGTGTTTTTTCTGTGTGTGTGTGTTTCAGGTAAACTCACTGAGATGTCGAGACAGACTCCCACACACAACGGTGCGTTACACCTCCTTTATTCAGTTAAAAATAGGGCTCTGTATTAGCATCTCTAATAACTCACTAATCCCTGACGAAAAAAGTGGTTATTTGCTGTTAATGGATTATATTACACCAACAATACTTTCTTGCAAAAGATCAGACTTTCTGAATTTTGATTTGTGTTCAGGTGCAGAGGAGGGTCCTGTGCTGGCTGTCGTGTTCGCAGCCTTTCTACTGGGTTTGTTCCTGATGGGGGCGATGTGGTGCATCTACACTCAGACTGGTACCCTCCCTCACACAAAATGATCGTCTAACGTTTTCCCACATGACGGCTGGCCATTTAAAACACGCTTGTTGGTTGTCACTGTCAGGGAGGCGTGATTTGACCCAGAGAGACGGTATTATAGAGACATCGGGACAGAACACGGCTTCAGAAACACGCCGATACTGATGGAGCAAACCAGCACTTTCCACCAGGCCAACTAAACCGTCAATGTGAAATAAAGCGCTATCATGTGATTTCTGCTTTTGTTAACTTCTGAATTTGTGTATCAGCTTGTAGCCTTACGTTAGAAACTTGTTTCTGACAAGGAATAAAACAATAAAAAGGTGATTGTTACTTTTTATCTTACAGTTCTGGGATTGTGAGGGAAACGTCAGAATTGAGAGATATAAAATCACAATCACCTTATTATTTTGCGTCGGAAACAGGTTTCACGTAAGGCGTAATGATTTTACTTGCTGCTTTTTTTTGCTGCTAAAGTAACCCATTTTGTGAAACGATCTTGTGCACCTTAAATGTACTTTATTTAATTTTCAGTCCTTTTATTGTTTTCATTGTAGTGTTTTGTAGCCCTTACATATGTTTTAAGTGTCAGTATTAAAGAAATAAACTCTGGACAGTAGGGTTGGGAAGGATCTTAATTATCATTTGCATGTGTTCTGCACATTTCTTACAAAACTAAATATAAACTTCTGCTGAGAGCATGAGAATACAGAAACACCTGAGGTACTGTCACAAAGCTGAACTTTTACTGTTGATGTTCTGACTGTATTTGTTATTAAAAGTCATATCATGGATATCGGGATGATTCTTAATCATTTGAAATCAGAGTTTCCTCATGATTATGACGTCACAACCATGAACACAACATGACACATGAAGAGCCAATTATTAGGTCTTAAAGCTATGTGATGTGAACAAAGTATTCAGACACATTTCACATTCAAACAAAGTGTGCAGTTCGAGAGAAGAACAAAATTTGTTGGGTACAGCAACATTAGTCTGAACTTTAGCTAAAAAAAAAATCTTCACATTGAGCTAGCAATGGATTTTTTATGTAGCAGGTCTCAGCAATTTAATTGTATAGTGTAATTACAATGCCGTTTTTGTGAGCTATGTGGAATATTTGTTCATTTAAAAATCATTTATAACACTACACCATTTAAAATGAAGCAAGCAAAAGAAAAAAAAATATTCAAAATGGTGAAAACTTCCAGAAAATATCCTGTAATTTGGTTCCCCAGCAAGCAATCCGTCATTTCACCGTCTAAATGACAAAATGTCCCCATAAAGTACATAAAATCCATGGCAGAACTTTGTTGGTCCCCATAATAAATCATATTAAGAGATGTTTTTTTTTTTTTTTTAAATGCAGAAAGTTGTGTGTGATGGGTATGTTTAGGGGTAAATTTAGTGTAAGAGGACAGAATATGCAGTACAGTATAAAAATCCCCATAACATTTCATTTGAAATCAGTGATGAATCCCCATGATTATGATATCACAACCACGAATACACCACATGTGACACGTGAAGAGCCCATAACAGGTCTTAAAGCTATACAGTATGTGATGTGAACGAATTATTCAGACTCATTTCACACAATGCAACAACATGTGTGTGTGTGCTGCTCAGCTCCCGTGATACAGTCCGCTGTGGTCCTCTGAGTGAGTCTGTAGGTGGCGCTGTAGGTCCATTCTCCTCTGGAAGCTGAGTGAGCAGTGCGGGCAGCTGAACGGCTGGAAGCTGCTGTGTTTTCTGCAGTGTGTGATCAGATTAGAGCTCTGACTGAACGCTTTACCGCACACCACACACACATGAGGCTTCTCACCTGTGAGATCACACACACACATTAGCTCTGCCTTACTGTCTACTTTCTACACAGTCAGCTAATTGCTAATAACATCCATGATGTAACCAGACGCGATGCGATAAGGTGCAGTCGGCGACAAGAAATATGTCTGTCAACAACAGATGCAACAACATTTTTGAAAAAAAAAATCACAGCCAATCAGAAGTGAGTGTAGGCGTGGCCTCTCTAAGTAAATAACTATCTCTGTCGTAGAAAACACTTGTTTGTGAACATTGTGCACACAGTTTGAATGTTTTGGTTTCCTTTAATTTATTTTCGAGATCTGAGTTGTGGCTTTAGGTCACGCAAAATATTCAAACTCACAAAATATATTTTGAGCATTAAGTAAAGCACATAATCATACCTTTACATAATAGTTGAAGCCTGCATATGTAGCATATGTTGTTGTTGTTTAAACGCGTCGTCGCAGAAATACCCGTTTCTAAAATAAAAAAGCTGGTCGCGCGCACCGAGAAACTGATTAAAGATGCCCTTTATCGTGTCGCTGCGTCACGTCTGGTTGGGACACGGTGTGAACAATATTCGGTTAAAAAGAGAATATCATTGGTTTAGAGTAAAAACATTAGAAAGCTCATTTTACCAGTGTGTATGAAGGTGTGTTTCTTCATGTCAGATTTCTGGTGGAATCTCTTCCCGCAGAAGGGACAGGGGTACGGCCGCGTGTCCGAGTGTATGAGCAGGTGTGTGGACAGAGTCGACGATCTCTTGAACACCTTCCCACAAACCTTACAGCCAAAACTCCTCTCCTAAAACACACACACAGCTCACATTCTGCTTTTTATGTTTATTGATGCAGTATAAGGTGTATGTTTTCAGTAAGAATGATATCCGGATGACCTGCTAAGTAGGCCTACTCTGTATTGTTCGATCAGATTTCCAAGATTTCCGACGTTTTACACAAAATCTGATTAAAAATAATAACTAGACTATTGCTATTCAGAGATGATAACCTCACTAAATTAAACATATGATGCATACTACTTCATGTACTTAAAAAAAGTAAGTAGTATACAGTATATTTTCATTTTAAATTTAGTTCATTTTTGTAATTTTGTTACAATTTTTGTTTTTTTTAAAAAAAATGTGTTACTTAAATTTAACCTATGTATATATACATATATATATAAACACAAAATGTAGTATTTAATTTTATATATATTTATATACGTATATCTATATAAATATATATACACTAAAACTGACACAAAATGAAGTAGTATCTATCTATCTATCTTTCTATCTATCTGTCTTTCTATATCTATCTATTTGTGTCAGTTTTAGTTATTTAAGTACATAAAGTTACACAAAATGAATGACAAATGTTTCCCGAGTAAGCTCTGAAGTAAAATAAGTTTTAAAATAGGTTTCTGTAGGACTTCTTCTCACCCTGGGGATTCCTGGATGTCTGTACCCGTAGTGCTGCTGGGCGTGACTCGTGGAGCCGTCCAATGGGAGAGCAGCCCTGTTGACATGTGACTTGCACAAGCGAGATGTCAAACCGACAGCAGAGGAAAGGACCTACAGAAGACGTGGTAATATTAATACACCACACTATATCACCAGTGATGGAAATGGCATTGATCACACAGCTCTGGAAGGGTCTAGAGCCTCCATTTTTGCACTCAGGTCTAAGTCTCATGGCTCTCTATCAGAATCCAGAGTTTCAAGAAGATTGGAGAAACTTATTTTTTTGCACAAAAAAAAAAACGACAGGGGTAACACTGTCGTTTTTTTGGGGGGTCGAAATTTTGAGTTTCTCCAATCTTCTTGAAACTCTGGATTCTTATACAGGGCCATGAGACTTAGACCTGAGTGCAAAAATGGAGACTCTAGACCCTTCCAGAGCTGAGATATTGAGATACGACGTAGCATTTATGCCATTATAAATATCTTAATATATCAGCTCTGGAAGGGTCTAGAGTCTCCATTTTTGCACTCAGGTCTAAGTCTCATGGCCCTGTATAAGAATCCAGAGTTTCAAGAAGATTGGAGAAACTCAAAATTTCGACCCGAAAAAAAAAAAACGACAGAGGTACCACTTTCGTTTTTGTTTTTTTTTCGGGCGAAAAATTACGTTTCTCCAATCTTCTCAAAACTCTGGATTCTGATAGAGGGACATGAGACTTACACCTGAGTGCAACAATGGAGGCTCTAGACCCTTCCAGAGCTGAGATATCGAAACTCAAAAATTCAACCTGAAAAAAAAACGACAGTGTTACCCCTTACGTTTTTTTTTTGGGGGGGAAAAATTAAGTTTCCCCAATCTTCTCAAAACTCTGGATTCTGATAGAGGGCCATGAGACTTAGACCTGAGTGCAAAAATGGAGGCTCTAGACCCTTCCAGAGCTGAGATATCGAAACTCAAAAATTCGACCCGAAAAAAAAACGACAGTGGTACCCCTTACGTTTTTTTTTTCGGGCGAAAAATTAAGTTTCTCCAATCTTCTCAAAACTCTGGATTCTGATAGAGGGCCATGAGACTTAGACCTGAGTGCAAAAATGGAGGCTCTAGACCCTTCCAGAGCTGAGATATCGAAACTCAAAAATTCGACCCGAAAAAAAAACGACAGTGTTACCCCTTACGTTTTTTTTGGGGGGGGCGAAAAATTAAGTTTCTCCAATCTTCTCAAAACTCTGGATTCTGATAGAGGGCCATGAGACTTAGACCTGAGTGCAAAAATGGAGGCTCTAGACCCTTCCAGAGCTGAGATATCGAAACTCAAAAATTCGACCCGAAAAAAAAACGACAGTGGTACCCCTTTCGTTTTTTTTTTTCGGGCGAAAAATTAAGTTTCTCCAATCTTCTCAAAACTCTGGATTCTGATAGAGGGCCATGAGACTTAGACCTGAGTGCAAAAATGGAGGCTCTAGACCCTTCCAGAGCTGAGATATCGAAACTCAAAAATTCGACCCGAAAAAAAAAACGACAGTGGTACCCCTTACGTTTTTTTTTTTTGGGCGAAAAATTAAGTTTCTCCAATCTTCTCAAAACTCTGGATTCTGATAGAGGGCCATGAGACTTAGACCTGAGTGCAAAAATGGAGGCTCTAGACCCTTCCAGAGCTGAGATATCGAAACTCAAAAATTCGACCCGAAAAAAAAAACGACAGTGGTACCCCTTTCGTTTTTTTTTTTCGGGCGAAAAATTAAGTTTCTCCAATCTTCTCAAAACTCTGGATTCTGATAGAGGGCCATGAGACTTAGACCTGAGTGCAAAAATGGAGGCTCTAGACCCTTCCAGAGCTGAGATATAGAAACTCCAAAATTCGACCCGAAAAAAAAACGACAGTGGTACCCCTTTCGTTTTTTTTTTTTGGGCGAAAAATTAAGTTTCTCCAATCTTCTCAAAACTCTGGATTCTGATAGAGGGCCATGAGACTTAGACCTGAGTGCAAAAATGGAGGCTCTAGACCCTTCCAGAGCTGAGATATCGAAACTCAAAAATTCGACCCGAAAAAAAAACGACAGTGGTACCCCTTACGTTTTTTTTTTTGGGGCGAAAAATTAAGTTTCTCCAATCTTCTCAAAACTCTGGATTCTGATAGAGGGCCATGAGACTTAGACCTGAGTGCAAAAATGGAGGCTCTAGACCCTTCCAGAGCTGAGATATCGAAACTCAAAAATTCGACCCGAAAAAAAAACGACAGTGGTACCCCTTTCGTTTTTTTTTTTTCGGGCGAAAAATTAAGTTTCTCCAATCTTCTCAAAACTCTGGATTCTGATAGAGGGCCATGAGACTTAGACCTGAGTGCAAAAATGGAGGCTCTAGACCCTTCCAGAGCTGAGATATCGAAACTCAAAAATTCGACCCGAAAAAAAAACGACAGTGGTACCCCTTTCGTTTTTTTTTTTGGGCGAAAAATTAAGTTTCTCCAATCTTCTCAAAACTCTGGATTCTGATAGAGGGCCATGAGACTTAGACCTGAGTGCAAAAATGGAGGCTCTAGACCCTTCCAGAGCTGAGATATCGAAACTCAAAAATTCGACCCGAAAAAAAAAACGACAGTGGTACCCCTTTCGTTTTTTTTTTTTGGGCGAAAAATTAAGTTTCTCCAATCTTCTCAAAACTCTGGATTCTGATAGAGGGCCATGAGACTTAGACCTGAGTGCAAAAATGGAGGCTCTAGACCCTTCCAGAGCTGAGATATCGAAACTCAAAAATTCGACCCGAAAAAAAAACGACAGTGGTACCCCTTACGTTTTTTTTTTTTGGGCGAAAAATTAAGTTTCTCCAATCTTCTCAAAACTCTGGATTCTGATAGAGGGCCATGAGACTTAGACCTGAGTGCAAAAATGGAGGCTCTAGACCCTTCCAGAGCTGAGATATCGAAACTCAAAAATTCGACCCGAAAAAAAAAACGACAGTGGTACCCCTTACGTTTTTTTTTTTGGGGCGAAAAATTAAGTTTCTCCAATCTTCTCAAAACTCTGGATTCTGATAGAGGGCCATGAGACTTAGACCTGAGTGCAAAAATGGAGGCTCTAGACCCTTCCAGAGCTGAGATATCGAAACTCAAAAATTCGACCCGAAAAAAAAAACGACAGTGGTACCCCTTTCGTTTTTTTTTTTGGGCGAAAAATTAAGTTTCTCCAATCTTCTCAAAACTCTGGATTCTGATAGAGGGCCATGAGACTTAGACCTGAGTGCAAAAATGGAGGCTCTAGACCCTTCCAGAGCTGAGATATCGAAACTCAAAAATTCGACCCGAAAAAAAAACGACAGTGGTACCCCTTACGTTTTTTTTTTTTGGGCGAAAAATTAAGTTTCTCCAATCTTCTCAAAACTCTGGATTCTGATAGAGGGCCATGAGACTTAGACCTGAGTGCAAAAATGGAGGCTCTAGACCCTTCCAGAGCTGAGATATCGAAACTCAAAAATTCGACCCGAAAAAAAAACGACAGTGGTACCCCTTTCGTTTTTTTTTTTGGGCGAAAAATTAAGTTTCTCCAATCTTCTCAAAACTCTGGATTCTGATAGAGGGCCATGAGACTTAGACCTGAGTGCAAAAATGGAGGCTCTAGACCCTTCCAGAGCTGAGATATCGAAACTCAAAAATTCGACCCGAAAAAAAAAACGACAGTGGTACCCCTTACGTTTTTTTTTTTTGGGCGAAAAATTAAGTTTCTCCAATCTTCTCAAAACTCTGGATTCTGATAGAGGGCCATGAGACTTAGACCTGAGTGCAAAAATGGAGGCTCTAGACCCTTCCAGAGCTGAGATATCGAAACTCAAAAATTCGACCCGAAAAAAAAACGACAGTGGTACCCCTTACGTTTTTTTTTTTGGGCGAAAAATTAAGTTTCTCCAATCTTCTCAAAACTCTGGATTCTGATAGAGGGCCATGAGACTTAGACCTGAGTGCAAAAATGGAGGCTCTAGACCCTTCCAGAGCTGAGATATCGAAACTCAAAAATTCGACCCGAAAAAAAAAACGACAGTGGTACCCCTTACGTTTTTTTTTTTTGGGCGAAAAATTAAGTTTCTCCAATCTTCTCAAAACTCTGGATTCTGATAGAGGGCCATGAGACTTAGACCTGAGTGCAAAAATGGAGGCTCTAGACCCTTCCAGAGCTGAGATATCGAAACTCAAAAATTCGACCCGAAAAAAAAACGACAGTGGTACCCCTTACGTTTTTTTTTTTGGGGCGAAAAATTAAGTTTCTCCAATCTTCTCAAAACTCTGGATTCTGATAGAGGGCCATGAGACTTAGACCTGAGTGCAAAAATGGAGGCTCTAGACCCTTCCAGAGCTGAGATATCGAAACTCAAAAATTCGACCCGAAAAAAAAACGACAGTGGTACCCCTTTCGTTTTTTTTTTTGGGCGAAAAATTAAGTTTCTCCAATCTTCTCAAAACTCTGGATTCTGATAGAGGGCCATGAGACTTAGACCTGAGTGCAAAAATGGAGGCTCTAGACCCTTCCAGAGCTGAGATATCGAAACTCAAAAATTCGACCCGAAAAAAAAAACGACAGTGGTACCCCTTTCGTTTTTTTTTTTCGGGCGAAAAATTAAGTTTCTCCAATCTTCTCAAAACTCTGGATTCTGATAGAGGGCCATGAGACTTAGACCTGAGTGCAAAAATGGAGGCTCTAGACCCTTCCAGAGCTGAGATATCGAAACTCAAAAATTCGACCCGAAAAAAAAAACGACAGTGGTACCCCTTACGTTTTTTTTTTTTGGCGAAAAATTAAGTTTCTCCAATCTTCTCAAAACTCTGGATTCTGATAGAGGGCCATGAGACTTAGACCTGAGTGCAAAAATGGAGGCTCTAGACCCTTCCAGAGCTGAGATATCGAAACTCAAAAATTCGACCCGAAAAAAAAACGACAGTGGTACCCCTTTCGTTTTTTTTTTTGGGCGAAAAATTAAGTTTCTCCAATCTTCTCAAAACTCTGGATTCTGATAGAGGGCCATGAGACTTAGACCTGAGTGCAAAAATGGAGGCTCTAGACCCTTCCAGAGCTGAGATATCGAAACTCAAAAATTCGACCCGAAAAAAAAACGACAGTGGTACCCCTTTCGTTTTTTTTTTTGGGGCGAAAAATTAAGTTTCTCCAATCTTCTCAAAACTCTGGATTCTGATAGAGGGCCATGAGACTTAGACCTGAGTGCAAAAATGGAGGCTCTAGACCCTTCCAGAGCTGAGATATCGAAACTCAAAAATTCGACCCGAAAAAAAAAACGACAGTGGTACCCCTTTCGTTTTTTTTTTTTGGGCGAAAAATTAAGTTTCTCCAATCTTCTCAAAACTCTGGATTCTGATAGAGGGCCATGAGACTTAGACCTGAGTGCAAAAATGGAGGCTCTAGACCCTTCCAGAGCTGAGATATCGAAACTCAAAAATTCGACCCGAAAAAAAAAACGACAGTGGTACCCCTTTCGTTTTTTTTTTTTCGGGCGAAAAATTAAGTTTCTCCAATCTTCTCAAAACTCTGGATTCTGATAGAGGGCCATGAGACTTAGACCTGAGTGCAAAAATGGAGGCTCTAGACCCTTCCAGAGCTGAGATATCGAAACTCAAAAATTCGACCCGAAAAAAAAACGACAGTGGTACCCCTTTCGTTTTTTTTTTTGGGCGAAAAATTAAGTTTCTCCAATCTTCTCAAAACTCTGGATTCTGATAGAGGGCCATGAGACTTAGACCTGAGTGCAAAAATGGAGGCTCTAGACCCTTCCAGAGCTGAGATATCGAAACTCAAAAATTCGACCCGAAAAAAAAAACGACAGTGGTACCCCTTTCGTTTTTTTTTTTTTCGGGCGAAAAATTAAGTTTCTCCAATCTTCTCAAAACTCTGGATTCTGATAGAGGGCCATGAGACTTAGACCTGAGTGCAAAAATGGAGGCTCTAGACCCTTCCAGAGCTGAGATATCGAAACTCAAAAATTCGACCCGAAAAAAAAACGACAGTGGTACCCCTTTCGTTTTTTTTTTTCGGGCGAAAAATTAAGTTTCTCCAATCTTCTCAAAACTCTGGATTCTGATAGAGGGCCATGAGACTTAGACCTGAGTGCAAAAATGGAGGCTCTAGACCCTTCCAGAGCTGAGATATCGAAACTCAAAATTTCGACCCGAAAAAAAAACGACAGTGGTACCCCTTACGTTTTTTTTTTTGGGGCGAAAAATTAAGTTTCTCCAATCTTCTCAAAACTCTGGATTCTGATAGAGGGCCATGAGACTTAGACCTGAGTGCAAAAATGGAGGCTCTAGACCCTTCCAGAGCTGAGATATCGAAACTCAAAAATTCGACCCGAAAAAAAAACGACAGTGGTACCCCTTTCGTTTTTTTTTTTTTCGGGCGAAAAATTAAGTTTCTCCAATCTTCTCAAAACTCTGGATTCTGATAGAGGGACATGAGACTTAGACCTGAGTGCAAAAATGGAGGCTCTAGACCCTTCCAGAGCTGAGATATCGAAACTCAAAAATTCGACCCGAAAAAAAAAACGACAGTGGTACCCCTTTCGTTTTTTTTTTTCGGGCGAAAAATTAAGTTTCTCCAATCTTCTCAAAACTCTGGATTCTGATAGAGGGCCATGAGACTTAGACCTGAGTGCAAAAATGGAGGCTCTAGACCCTTCCAGAGCTGAGATATCGAAACTCAAAAATTCGACCCGAAAAAAAAAACGACAGTGTTACCCCTTACGTTTTTTTTTTTTTCGGGCGAAAAATTACATTTCTCCAATCTTCTCAAAACTCTGGATTCTGATAGAGGGCCATGAGACTTAGACCTGAGTGCAAAAATTGAGGCTCTAGACCCTTCCAGAGCTGAGATATCGAAACTCAAAAATTCGACCCAAAAAAAAAAAAAACGACAGTGGTACCCCTTACGTTTTTTTTTGGGGGGCGAAAAATTAAGTTTCTCCAATCTTCTCAAAACTCTGGATTCTGATAGAGGGCCATGAGACTTAGACCTGAGTGCAAAAATGGAGGCTCTAGACCCTTCCAGAGCTGAGATATCGAAATTCAAAAATTCGACCCGAAAAAAAAAACGACATTGTTACCCCTTACGTTTTTTTTGGGGGGTGAAAAATTAAGTTTCCCCAATCTTCTCAAAACTCTGGATTTTGATAGAGGGCCATGAGACTTAGACCTGAGTGCAACAATGGAGGCTCTAGACCCTTCCAGAGCTGAGATATCGAAACTCAAAATTCGACCCGAAAAAAAAAAAAAATAATAACATAGCAACAACCTATTAATCCCCCAGGCCACTTCAGAAACCACATAGCAACAGCATAGTAACCACCCGGAACACCCCAGCAACCACATAGCAACAGCCTAGTAACCACCCGAAACAGGTTAATAGGCTGTTTCTATGTGGTTGCTGGGTAGTCTGGGTGGTTTCTAGGCTGTTGCTATGTGGTTGCTGGGGTGTTATGAGTGGTTTATAGGGAGCAGTGTTCGATTAACATAACTTCTCTGTGTGTCTGTCAGATCTCGGTGGCGTCTGGCGCTGCGGAGGCTGTGGAGCTCCAGTCGTGTCTGGTTTCTCCTCTCTCAGACCCGCAGGCTCACAGCGGCTGGTCCATCATCAAAGACTTCTGCCCGTCAGACCCATCCTTCACACTTCCCAACGGAGAAGCCCAGGAACCAACAGACAGCCCAGAGAGCAAGGGCGACGGAGACGAGGAGGACAAGGAGAAGCCCGGGAGGAAGGACGACAGATGGCCGAGCCCTCTCCGGAGACACACAGGGGCCCGCGGCGGAGACGAGAGGGCCAGGCGGTTTAAAGACAAGAGACCCGACAGAGTCAGAGCCAGGAAGCCCGAGGAGCGCAGGCGGAGTAGGAGGGACAATGAGCGCGAGGGCGCACACACACTGCGCTTCAGTTTCATCCTGCGCCCTGTCTATAATAACTCCATTCAGTTTCTGCACTGCCGGCTGCGTCTGTGTGCGGCGGACGAGGGGCCCTCAGGGGCCGGCGCTCGGGTCTGTGCTCAGGGGCCTCGGATTCCTGCTCTCACACACACGTCTGCTTCTCAACAGGTACTGTTGGTGTCATTACCCAAGGAAACTGGGATGGCTGCAAGCTTTTTGTCATTTTTGATAACTGTCAACTCTATCTTATATCATACTAGATAGATCAAATAATAATGTATAGATCATAATACAGTTCGTATTAAACTAGATTAAACATTATTATCTGATATATTTAAACATAGGCTGTTAGTATTGAGTTCCAGAAACTTTAAATACCTTAAGTGTAAAGGTGTATCACATCAATATATATATACAGTCAAATCAATAATCATTCAGACACCAGATATACAGCGAATAAACTGTGGGAAATTATAATAATGTGATAATGTGAAAATTTTTGAAGGTGTCCAAATAAATTTTTGGATTTGATATATGATATGATATACTGTTTATATATAAATAGTATCAAATATATGTAAAACACTGGAACCAGAACTATTAAAACCTTTCTTCTCGAAAGATAAGAAGTGATTCTTATCTTTCACCTTTGTCTTACAGTGTGAGGACAGAAATCTGTCTCGGCCAGTATTGGTGACGTATCCTGTGGGGTTTCTGGCTCCCCCTGCTGGTCGGTACCCATCAATGCAGCGTTGAACTTTCATTCACACAAGCCTTTTGCATTACTAACACTTGTGTTTTTTCTGTGTGTGTGTGTTTCAGGTAAACTCACTGAGATGTCGAGACAGACTCCCACACACAACGGTGCGTTACACCTCCTTTATTCAGTTAAAAATAGGGCTCTGTATTAGCATCTCTAATAACTCACTAATCCCTGACGAAAAAAGTGGTTATTTGCTGTTAATGGATTATATTACACCAACAATACTTTCTTGCAAAAGATCAGACTTTCTGAATTTTGATTTGTGTTCAGGTGCAGAGGAGGGTCCTGTGCTGGCTGTCGTGTTCGCAGCCTTTCTACTGGGTTTGTTCCTGATGGGGGCGATGTGGTGCATCTACACTCAGACTGGTACCCTCCCTCACACAAAATGATCGTCTAACGTTTTCCCACATGACGGCTGGCCATTTAAAACACGCTTGTTGGTTGTCACTGTCAGGGAGGCGTGATTTGACCCAGAGAGACGGTATTATAGAGACATCGGGACAGAACACGGCTTCAGAAACACGCCGATACTGATGGAGCAAACCAGCACTTTCCACCAGGCCAACTAAACCGTCAATGTGAAATAAAGCGCTATCATGTGATTTCTGCTTTTGTTAACATCTGAATTTGTGTATCAGCTTGTAGCCTTACGTTAGAAATTTGTTTTTGACAAGGAATAAAACAATAAAAAGGTGATTGTTACTTTTTATCTTACAGTTCTGGGATTGTGAGGGAAAAGTCAGAATTGAGAGATAAAATCACAATCACCTTATTATTTTGTGTCGGAAACACGTTTCACGTAAGGCGTAATGATTTTACTTGCTGCTTTTGTTTTGCTGCTAAAGTAACACATTTTGTGAAACGATCTTGTGCACCTTAAATGTACTTTATTTAATTTCCAGTCCTTTATTGTTTTCATTGTAGTGTTTTGTAGCCCTTGCATATGTTTTAAGTGTCAGTATTAAAGAAATAAACTCTGGACAGTAGGGTTGGGAAGGATCTTAATTATCATTTGCATGTGTTCTGTACATTTCTTACAAAACTAAATATAAACTTCTGCTGAGAGCATGAGAATACAGAAACACCTGAGGTACTGTCACAAAGCTGAACTTTTACTGTTGATGTTCTGACTGTATTTGTTATTAAAAGTCATATCATGGATATCGGGATGATTCTTAATCATTTGAAATCAGAGTTTCCTCGTGATTATGACGTCACAACCATGAACACAACATGACACATGAAGAGCCAATTATTAGGCCTTAAAGCTATGTGATGTGAAGTATTCAGACACATTTCACATTCAAACAAAGTGTGCAGTTCGAGAGAAGAACAAAATTTGTTGGGTACAGCAACATTAGTCTGAACTTTAGCTAAAAAAAAAATCTTCACATTGAGCTAGCAATGGATTTTTTTATGTAGCAGGTCTCAGCAATTCAATTGTATAGTGTAATTACAATGCCGTTTTTGTGAGCTATGTGGAATATTTGTTCATTTAAAATTCATTTATAACACTACACCATTTAAAATGAAGCAAGCAAAAAGAAAAAAAAATTATTCAAAATGGTGAAAACTTCCTGAAAATATCCTGTAATTTGGTTCCCCAGCAAGCAATCCGTCATTTCACCGTCTAAATGACAAAATGTCCCCATAAAGTACATAAAATCCATGGCAGAACTTTGTTGGTCCCCATAATAAATCATATTAAGTGATGTTTTTTTGTTTTTGTTTTTGTTTTTTTGAAAAAAATGCAGAAAGTTGTGTGTGATGGGTATGTTTAGGGGTAAATTTAGTGTAAGAGGACAGAATATGCAGTACAGTATAAAAATCCCCATAACATTTCATTTGAAATCAGTGATGAATCCCCATGATTATGATATCACAACCACGAATACACCACATGTGACACGTGAAGAGCCCATCATAAGGTCTTAAAGCTATGTATGTGATGTGAACGAATTATTCAGACTCATTTCATACAATGCAACAACATGTGTGTGTGTGCTGCTCAGCTCCCGTGATACAGTCCGCTGTGGTCCTCTGAGTGAGTCTGTAGGTGGCGCTGTAGGTCCATTCTCCTCTGGAAGCTGAGTGAGCAGTGCGGGCAGCTGAACGGCTGGAAGCTGCTGTGTTTTCTGCAGTGTGTGATCAGATTAGAGCTCTGACTGAACGCTTTACCGCACACCACACACACATGAGGCTTCTCACCTGTGAGATCACACACACACATTAGCTCTGCCTTACTGTCTACTTTCTACACAGTCAGCTAATTGCTAATAACATCCATGATGTAACCAGACGCGATGCGATAAGGTGCAGTCGGCGACAAGAAATATGTCTGTCAACAACAGATGCAACAACATTTTTGAAAAAAAAAAATCACAGCCAATCAGAAGTGAGTGTAGGCGTGGCCTCTCTAAGTAAATAATGACAATTACATTGTTTTAAGTAACATTATTACTGAGTGACTGAAACTATCTCTGTCGTAGAAAACACTTGTTTGTGAACATTGTGCACACAGTTTGAATGTTTTGGTTTCCTTTAGTTTATTTTCGAGATCTGAGGTGTGGCTTTAGGTCACGCAAAATATTCAAACTCACAAAATATATTTTGAGCATTAAGTAAAGCACATAATCATACCTTTACATAATAGTTGAAGCCTGCATATGTAGCATATGTTGTTGTTCTTGTTTAAACGCGTCGTCGCAGAAATACCCGTTTCTAAAATAAAAAAGCTGGTCGCGCGCATCGAGAAACTGATTAAAGATGCCCTTTATCGTGTCGCTGCGTCACGTCTGGTTGGGACATGGTGTGAACAATATTCGGTTAAAAAGAAAATATCATTGGTTTAGAGTAAAAACATTAGAAAGCTCATTTTACCAGTGTGTATGAAGGTGTGTTTCTTCATGTCAGATTTCTGGTGGAATCTCTTCCCGCAGAAGGGACAGGGGTACGGCCGCGTGTCCGAGTGTATGAGCAGGTGTGTGGACAGAGTCGACGATCTCTTGAACACCTTCCCACAAACCTTACAGCCAAAACTCCTCTCCTAAAACACACACACACACACAGCTCACATTCTGCTTTTTATGTTTATTGATGCAGTAGGTGTATGTTTTCAGTAAGAATGATATCCGGATGACCTGCTAAGTAGGCCTACTCTGTATTGTTCGATCAGATTTCCAAGATTTCCGACGTTTTACACAAAATCTGATTAAAAATAATAACTAGACTATTGCTATTCAGAGATGATAACCTCACTAAATTAAACATATGATGCATACTACTTCATGTACTTAAAAAAAGTAAGTAGTATACAGTATATTTTCATTTTAAATTTAGTTCATTTTTGTAATTTTGTTACAATTTTTGTTTTTTTTAAAAAAAATGTGTTACTTAAATTTAACCTATGTATATATACATATATATATAAACACAAAATGTAGTATTTAATTTTATATATATTTATATACGTATATCTATATAAATATATATACACTAAAACTGACACAAAATGAAGTAGTATCTATCTATCTATCTTTCTATCTATCTGTCTTTCTATATCTATCTATTTGTGTCAGTTTTAGTTATTTAAGTACATAAAGTTACACAAAATGAATGACAAATGTTTCCTGGGTAATCAGCTGAAGTAAAAGAAGTTTTAAAATAGGTTTCTGTAGGACTTCTTCTCACCCTGGGGATTCCTGGATGTCTGTACCCGTAGTGCTGCTGGGCGTGGCTCGTGGAGCCGTCCAATGGGAGAGCAGCCCTGTTGACATGTGACTTGCACAAGCGAGATGTCAAACCGACAGCAGAGGAAAGGACCTACAGAAGACGTGGTAATATTAATACACCACACTACATCACCAGTGATGGAAATGGCATTGATCAAAAACACACATCAGAACAATACGACACGTGATCATATGCAAATCCCATTTCAGGTTTGAAATGTTTAAAAACCACACAAACACCCTCATGTGATATAATGTGGAAATCATGTCAGGTGATTAGATCGGGGAAATCAATTTCATCAATTATACATAATCTTTATATTTGAATTTATTGTTCTGTCATTTTTGCTTAATAAAGTATAATTTAGTGTTCTAGAAATACTTCATTCCTCTGTTAAATCCCTTCGGCTCGTATATTTTTAATTCGTGAGCCACTCGATCTGCTAAATAAATAAATGTTTCTATCTAAGGGCCCGTTCACATGACTTTTATGCGTTTTGGTTGTTCATTTACACAACAGCTGTGTTTTGTGGGCCTGAAAATGCTAAACGTTTTTGGGTGCATTTACATGACGACGATGCACTTAAAACAAAATTGGTTTTTCTTCGCATTTTTGAAAGGTTTTGCGTACAGACGACAACGTTGTCAAACTGAAATATTCATGCCAGGCCAGTAGATGGCGATCACTTTGTAAAGAAACATTTTGCACCTGCATTTTTATGTAAAAAAAGGGGTACATTGAGTAAACAAACGGAAAAATACATATAAAGAAACGGTGACAAACTTAAAAGTTGAAACACACTTTGCAGCTTATTTTTTAAACACAACACTCTATCAGAATCCAGAGTTTCAAGAAGATTGGAGAAACTTGTTTTTTCACCAAAAAAAAAAAGCAAAAAACGACAGGGGTAACACTGTCGGGTTTTTTTGGGGTCGAAATCCAATCTTCTTGAAACTCTGTATTCTGATAGAGGGCCATTGGACTTAGACCTGAATGCAAAAATGGAGACTCTAGACCCTTCCAGAGCTGAGATATTGAGATACCACGTAGCATTTATGCCATTATAAATATCTCAATATCTCAGCTCTGGAAGGGTCTAGAGCCTCCATTTTTGCACTCAGGTCTAAGTCTCATGGCTCTCTATCAGAATCCAGAGTTTCAAGAAGATTGGAGAAACTTATTTTTTTGCACAAAAAAAAAAAAACGACAGGGGTAACACTGTCGTTTTTTTGGGGGGTCGAAATTTTGAGTTTCTCCAATCTTCTTGAAACTCTGGATTCTTATACAGGGCCATGAGACTTAGACCTGAGTGCAAAAATGGAGACTCTAGACCCTTCCAGAGCTGAGATATTGAGATACCACGTAGCATTTATGCCATTATAAATATCTTAATATATCAGCTCTGGAAGGGTCTAGAGTCTCCATTTTTGCACTCAGGTCTAAGTCTCATGGCCCTAGGGTTAGGGTTAGGGTTAGATTGGAGAAACTCAAAATTTCGACCCGAAAAAAAAAAACGACAGTGGTACCCCTTTCGTTTTTTTTTTTTTTTCGGGCGAAAAATTAAGTTTCTCCAATCTTCTCAAAACTCTGGATTCTGATAGAGGGCCATGAGACTTACACCTGAGTGCAAAAATGGAGGCTCTAGACCCTTCCAGAGCTGAGATATCGAAACTCAAAAATTCGACCCGAAAAAAAAACGACAGTGTTACCCCTTACGTTTTTTTTGGGGGGGGGAAAAATTAAGTTTCTCCAATCTTCTCAAAACTCTGGATTCTGATAGAGGGCCATGAGACTTAGACCTGAGTGCAAAAATGGAGGCTCTAGACCCTTCCAGAGCTGAGATATCGAAACTCAAAAATTCGACCCGAAAAAAAAACGACAGTGGTACCCCTTACGTTTTTTTTTTTTGGGCGAAAAATTAAGTTTCTCCAATCTTCTCAAAACTCTGGATTCTGATAGAGGGCCATGAGACTTAGACCTGAGTGCAAAAATGGAGGCTCTAGACCCTTCCAGAGCTGAGATATCGAAACTCAAAAATTCGACCCGAAAAAAAAACGACAGTGTTACCCCTTACGTTTTTTTTTTTGGGGGCGAAAAATTAAGTTTCTCCAATCTTCTCAAAACTCTGGATTCTGATAGAGGGCCATGAGACTTAGACCTGAGTGCAAAAATGGAGGCTCTAGACCCTTCCAGAGCTGAGATATCGAAACTCAAAAATTCGACCCGAAAAAAAAACGACAGTGGTACCCCTTACGTTTTTTTTTTTGGGCGAAAAATTAAGTTTCTCCAATCTTCTCAAAACTCTGGATTCTGATAGAGGGCCATGAGACTTAGACCTGAGTGCAAAAATGGAGGCTCTAGACCCTTCCAGAGCTGAGATATCGAAACTCAAAATTTCGACCCGAAAAAAAAACGACAGTGTTACCCCTTACGTTTTTTTTTTTTGGGCGAAAAATTAAGTTTCTCCAATCTTCTCAAAACTCTGGATTCTGATAGAGGGCCATGAGACTTAGACCTGAGTGCAAAAATGGAGGCTCTAGACCCTTCCAGAGCTGAGATATCGAAACTCAAAATTCGACCCGAAAAAAAAACGACAGTGGTACCCCTTACGTTTTTTTTTTTGGGCGAAAAATTAAGTTTCTCCAATCTTCTCAAAACTCTGGATTCTGATAGAGGGCCATGAGACTTAGACCTGAGTGCAAAAATGGAGGCTCTAGACCCTTCCAGAGCTGAGATATCGAAACTCAAAAATTCGACCCGAAAAAAAAACGACAGTGGTACCCCTTACGTTTTTTTTTTTGGGGCGAAAAATTAAGTTTCTCCAATCTTCTCAAAACTCTGGATTCTGATAGAGGGCCATGAGACTTAGACCTGAGTGCAAAAATGGAGGCTCTAGACCCTTCCAGAGCTGAGATATCGAAACTCAAAAATTCGACCCGAAAAAAAAACGACAGTGGTACCCCTTACGTTTTTTTTTTTGGGCGAAAAATTAAGTTTCTCCAATCTTCTCAAAACTCTGGATTCTGATAGAGGGCCATGAGACTTAGACCTGAGTGCAAAAATGGAGGCTCTAGACCCTTCCAGAGCTGAGATATCGAAACTCAAAAATTCGACCCGAAAAAAAAACGACAGTGGTACCCCTTACGTTTTTTTTTTTGGGCGAAAAATTAAGTTTCTCCAATCTTCTCAAAACTCTGGATTCTGATAGAGGGCCATGAGACTTAGACCTGAGTGCAAAAATGGAGGCTCTAGACCCTTCCAGAGCTGAGATATCGAAACTCAAAAATTCGACCCGAAAAAAAAAACGACAGTGGTACCCCTTACGTTTTTTTTTTTGGGGCGAAAAATTAAGTTTCTCCAATCTTCTCAAAACTCTGGATTCTGATAGAGGGCCATGAGACTTAGACCTGAGTGCAAAAATGGAGGCTCTAGACCCTTCCAGAGCTGAGATATCGAAACTCAAAAATTCGACCCGAAAAAAAAACGACAGTGGTACCCCTTACGTTTTTTTTTTTTGGGCGAAAAATTAAGTTTCTCCAATCTTCTCAAAACTCTGGATTCTGATAGAGGGCCATGAGACTTAGACCTGAGTGCAAAAATGGAGGCTCTAGACCCTTCCAGAGCTGAGATATCGAAACTCAAAATTCGACCCGAAAAAAAAACGACAGTGGTACCCCTTACGTTTTTTTTTTTGGGCGAAAAATTAAGTTTCTCCAATCTTCTCAAAACTCTGGATTCTGATAGAGGGCCATGAGACTTAGACCTGAGTGCAAAAATGGAGGCTCTAGACCCTTCCAGAGCTGAGATATCGAAACTCAAAAATTCGACCCGAAAAAAAAACGACAGTGGTACCCCTTACGTTTTTTTTTTTTGGGCGAAAAATTAAGTTTCTCCAATCTTCTCAAAACTCTGGATTCTGATAGAGGGCCATGAGACTTAGACCTGAGTGCAAAAATGGAGGCTCTAGACCCTTCCAGAGCTGAGATATCGAAACTCAAAAATTCGACCCGAAAAAAAAAACGACAGTGGTACCCCTTACGTTTTTTTTTTTGGGCGAAAAATTAAGTTTCTCCAATCTTCTCAAAACTCTGGATTCTGATAGAGGGCCATGAGACTTAGACCTGAGTGCAAAAATGGAGGCTCTAGACCCTTCCAGAGCTGAGATATCGAAACTCAAAAATTCGACCCGAAAAAAAAACGACAGTGGTACCCCTTACGTTTTTTTTTTTGGGCGAAAAATTAAGTTTCTCCAATCTTCTCAAAACTCTGGATTCTGATAGAGGGCCATGAGACTTAGACCTGAGTGCAAAAATGGAGGCTCTAGACCCTTCCAGAGCTGAGATATCGAAACTCAAAAATTCGACCCGAAAAAAAAAACGACAGTGGTACCCCTTACGTTTTTTTTTTTGGGCGAAAAATTAAGTTTCTCCAATCTTCTCAAAACTCTGGATTCTGATAGAGGGCCATGAGACTTAGACCTGAGTGCAAAAATGGAGGCTCTAGACCCTTCCAGAGCTGAGATATCGAAACTCAAAATTCGACCCGAAAAAAAAACGACAGTGGTACCCCTTACGTTTTTTTTTTTGGGGCGAAAAATTAAGTTTCTCCAATCTTCTCAAAACTCTGGATTCTGATAGAGGGCCATGAGACTTAGACCTGAGTGCAAAAATGGAGGCTCTAGACCCTTCCAGAGCTGAGATATCGAAACTCAAAAATTCGACCCGAAAAAAAAAACGACAGTGGTACCCCTTACGTTTTTTTTTTTTGGGCGAAAAATTAAGTTTCTCCAATCTTCTCAAAACTCTGGATTCTGATAGAGGGCCATGAGACTTAGACCTGAGTGCAAAAATGGAGGCTCTAGACCCTTCCAGAGCTGAGATATCGAAACTCAAAAATTCGACCCGAAAAAAAAAACGACAGTGGTACCCCTTACGTTTTTTTTTTTGGGCGAAAAATTAAGTTTCTCCAATCTTCTCAAAACTCTGGATTCTGATAGAGGGCCATGAGACTTAGACCTGAGTGCAAAAATGGAGGCTCTAGACCCTTCCAGAGCTGAGATATCGAAACTCAAAAATTCGACCCGAAAAAAAAACGACAGTGGTACCCCTTACGTTTTTTTTTTTTGGGCGAAAAATTAAGTTTCTCCAATCTTCTCAAAACTCTGGATTCTGATAGAGGGCCATGAGACTTAGACCTGAGTGCAAAAATGGAGGCTCTAGACCCTTCCAGAGCTGAGATATCGAAACTCAAAAATTCGACCCGAAAAAAAAACGACAGTGGTACCCCTTACGTTTTTTTTTTTGGGCGAAAAATTAAGTTTCTCCAATCTTCTCAAAACTCTGGATTCTGATAGAGGGCCATGAGACTTAGACCTGAGTGCAAAAATGGAGGCTCTAGACCCTTCCAGAGCTGAGATATCGAAACTCAAAATTCGACCCGAAAAAAAAACGACAGTGGTACCCCTTACGTTTTTTTTTTTTGGGCGAAAAATTAAGTTTCTCCAATCTTCTCAAAACTCTGGATTCTGATAGAGGGCCATGAGACTTAGACCTGAGTGCAAAAATGGAGGCTCTAGACCCTTCCAGAGCTGAGATATCGAAACTCAAAAATTCGACCCGAAAAAAAAACGACAGTGGTACCCCTTACGTTTTTTTTTTTGGGCGAAAAATTAAGTTTCTCCAATCTTCTCAAAACTCTGGATTCTGATAGAGGGC